AAAAAAAAAAAAAAAAAAAAAAAAAAAAAAAAAAAAAAAAAAAAAAACAAATATATTTAAAAAATAACTCACAACATTTTATCCAAATCACGGCGAATATTAAAAACTTGGCATCACTTTCTTTTTAATCCGGGAGAGACTTCATTATATTTTAATATATATATATATATCAGTGTCGAAACACTCAAAATACTTTTGAAACTAAAATAGTTTGAGCTTGTGCGATGATCTCATCATTTGCTTCAAGCCTTTCTTCCGTGGAACATCCTTTTCAAATCTGTGAACAGATAATAAACGCTGCAGACCAGATCGGAAGTTCATTGATGCAGCGACTCGAACTTTAATTCACGCAATAGTGCTATTATAGCCATCAATACGGTGACCCGTCGTCGCGATATTTTCATTTCTCCGCGTGCAGAACACAGTATCCGTTTTGAAAATAAGGCTCTCACGCAAACATCTTTAGGATGTCAGTTAATTCCCTCTTCCATCATCGAGTAATAATTTTTAAGATTTCTTTTGATATCTACTCTTGCAAGCATTCACTTTGTTCAGCATTATCGGTATGCGTACGACCTCGTTTAAGATCAGTCAACAACAACCGATAAATTCTCTGTTTTAACAGAGCAATGCTTTCGTAACAGTTTTTAATATAATGATAAGTTTCAACGCATGTCTCCCATGAGAAAGTAATCTTTAATCAGAATACGAAGATTGTGACTCGTTGCAAATAAACGAAGTATAAGCAAAATCTTCAAGGACTCCTTCTTTGCCCAAAAAAAGATATGAATTTTCGATTAGGGGACGTGAGCTCCATGTGTCAGTCCTAGTAATTGTTGATAAATACCTTACAAAGTATTTTCATACTACCGCTCGTTACGTTTACAATTTTTTTGATTTGCATTAAATGACGTTAATGGCATTTCTCACTAAAAATCAAGTTCAGTACTGGCATTACGTTTCTTTCGCGAATGTCAACTGAGAGATTGTAATGATCGCCACAGTAAACAACGCGATAAAAAAGTGCAAAACAAGTGAAGAAAATGTTGAAGAACATGCGCAAGACTGTATGTACTCGTGATAATTAAACGTAACTCAGTAAAGGCTTACTTCGGACGTCTTTGTCAGCTGTTGCTTAAAAATTTCTTCCGCTTCTAATACTGAAAAGATTGCTTATAATCTGTGAGCGTGGGCGTGGGCGTGGGCGTGCGCGTGGGACAATTAACACAAGAACTACCGAGCAAGTTCTTTTGATTCCTATAAGGCATGTAAGAGATTTTTATTTGAATATTTACGATCAGTTCTTCTTTCATTTCTAATCTATTGTTCGCGTTAGCCAATTACATTTCCACCAAAAATGATCACAGTCGCAAAGATAAAAACAAAAAGCTTGGCACTCGTCGTAAACATTCCCTGATAGATTGGCAACTCAACGGAACCTAATGATTGCGATGTGCCCGCATAGGCGCGCACAATAGATAAAAACTTAAGACAACCTTGATAGAACACTGACAATTTTTCTATATTTTCGTGAAGCTTCTGGAAGAACAAATTCACATTTCATTTGTTTTAATGCACATTAGCACGTACGTCATTCAATTGGAAGTAAGTTTTAAGTGGAAATGATCCCTTTTAGTACAGAAACAGGTATACATCATATGTCGATAGTGCCACAACTTGAGTATATTGTGCGCAATATTATCAAAGGAGATGGTGATCATAAATGCAAAGTCACTCTAAGCGTGTGTTTCATCAGCAGGCAAGCATAAAGACATGCCCATAAAAATTAATTGTTTTGTGCACAATTCATCCATCCATTCCATCTTGGTTTATTGGCTTGATTTATATATTATTCATTCGAATGAATATCAGATTGTAACAGCCTTGGCGGTCGTTAATCCATGTTTTTTTTTTAAGCTCAAAGGGTCAGAAAAGCTTTGATGGCATGCCGCCATACGTAAGACGAACGAGACGAAGATTGATGAGCCGCACAATTACATCCGCGAATCGAATTATTTAATACTCCTCCAAGTAATGCTTCTGAATAGTAGATCTTACTATGCAGAGGCAAGAATTTTATTTACTCATATTTTTGGCGAAAGTAACGTAAAATGACGATTTGCTCCGATCTGATATTTTCTCTATCTTTTGTTTCTATCCCCAGTTCGGTGACAAGTAGAAAGGAAGTGAGGAGAGAGAAAAAGATAGAAAGATGGTTTTGCGTCTAATAAGGTAAGTGTTGTGCCTTTACCGACTAAGCACACACTATAGCTGCGAGGGGTTAAAGTTAAAATCTCCCGCACTTGAAATTTGAAGCCGCGAATACTCGACTATTCATGCGAAGACTGATATTGGTATTGGATGCCATAAAACCTTGTCTCTCAAACCATTGTTATTCTTTGTTAAATTTTCCTACAGAGCCAAAGTAAAAAATATTGAATGAAAAATGTGTTAACATTCAGGTGAGGGGATTATCAATCTCTGCCATGAATAAGATGAAAATTTTTCTTAACCATTTTTTCTCCTTACAAAAAAAAAAAAAAAAAAAAAACAATTCAACTTCTCTCGTAATAATTTTCTCTCTATTTTCCTTGCAGTGTTATCCCTACAATCTCAACGTTCCCAAATACTACCAAAATAGCTTAACTTGTATCAAGTAATTGTGATAAGTTTGTCAATATCTTCCCGTCTGAATTCTTATAAGTCTTCTGAATATGCCTAGGAATGCACGCACGTCAGTATATCGAGACCATTGAGAAAATCTGTTAATTAATTGCTCATGATATGAAAGAACATAAATATTTCTTTGTTTGATCGCGGACTGAATCTTTCACGAATCGCAATAAAATCAAAATAATAATTTAAATAAATTTATTTACATATGTACATACATACATATATATACATACATCTATCTATCTATAAACAAATAATAGTCATAACATGTATAATAACGATTCGTTCACATATAAATTAATATATATATATATATATATATATATATATATATATATGAGCTTACCTTTTTGTTGCATTTATTCAAATGTACATAAAGTGCATGCATGCATGCGGCAGCAATATTGTCACTCGTTAAAAACCGTTGTTTCAAAAGGCAGTTGTTTTGTTGTTGATCTTGTTGAGAGAATTATTAAAATTGGAAAACTCAAACCTCTCTTCTTATTTATTTCTTTAACTTTTTTATTTTATTTTTTTTTTAATTATTTATCCATTTAGTTTTTTGCTTTCTTTGCTTTTACTTTTCGATAGATATGTTCAGATTATAATATATATAGTTTTTCTATTTATTATTGATATTATTATAAAATCATTTTCATTTTCTGTCATTTTGTTATTTTTTCTAATTTTGCTACATTTATAATGAAATTGTTTTTGTTTTTGTTTTTGTTGTTGTTTTTGTTGTTGTTGTTGTTGTTGTTCTTGATTTTGCCGCTTTTGTTCTTCTTTCTTATTATCGATTTTAGAAAAATTTTTTAACTGCATTAACTCGCGTTTAAAGCACGCGAACATTGTTGTGATGCATCATTTTACCGGTACATGAAAACGATTTGATTTTATTTTACAACGTATACGTTTAATGAACGGTGTCTTTGCCTTGACATCAACAAATCCCACACGTTGTCTTTGGGGACGCATTTATATAAATTATAAGGATCATACATCCAAAATAGCCATCAGACCTGCAAAGAGTAACAAATAAATGGAAAATTCATTATTAAATATTTTGATATTTATTCAGTATTCAGTGCCCATACGCAAAGATACGCAAATATATATTATCTATTAATTATTGATTATATATGTGCTTGGTTGGACTTGGTTGGAAAAACAAGCATTACGAAAGAAAAATTAAAGCAACGAAATGACTTAACCTAAAATAGCCAAAACTTATTTTATTTCGATTGTAAACCTAAGCAGGGCGATAAAGAAAACCATATTTACTTATTTATCATTGCATCTTAATATGAGGTCCATCCATCTAAACCATAAAGACAATCTTCGCGTTAAGAACTACAAAATCGCAAAGACGCGTCTAAGCAGTGGAAAAATGAAAAAGTTTGGAAAATGACTGCCCCCACTACACCTTTTAGGATTAATAAATCTTCGGATAAATACTCCCGAGTAAGGCTAGTATGAATGATTCAATGCACAGAGAACATGGGAAAAAAACATTTTCACGTTAAAAATTTTACCAAATCTTTATATTATTATGGCATTGAGTATGAAAAATTCGTATCAAGACTATCCAGAAATTATATCTTGCCGATGTAAATGCGAATATATTCTTAGAAGTAGATGAAAAGTCTCACGATTAATTAACCTTAGGACGAAAATGCATTAACATAATCTTTTTTAATGAAGTTGTTAACATAGTTTACGTAAAACTAACGTAACTCTGTCTTCCATATATTTTTCATTGGCTAACTTAACCCTAAATTCTTCGAAACAATAAACTTAACTGCCAGACAAGAGAAGAGAACTAACACGATAATGTCAAGTGTCAGGTGTTTGTTCGATTACATTAATTGAAGTTTTTGTTTACAATCTATCAATAATCAATTCTTCCATGATTGTATTTGCATTATAATGATGCTAGAAATGTTAGGCTAAATATTATGAGAGCAAAGTTAGGAGATATGTCTATTTCTTAGATCAGCTTTGTTAGCTTTGTTGTTTTTATTGCAACTTTCGATTATCAGCTTCTTGACTTTATCGTTTGTAGGAACTGAATATACCTTAACTTCTCAAATCATTTTGAAGGATCTTCCATTCTTATATAGGTCGTCCTGTTTTGACAACCCCCTAGTAAATCGAGTAAATATGCAAAACAGAATTGTCATTTATAGTATGGCATGGCATGGCATGGCATGGCATGGCGTTTAGTGTAACGTTTGGTGTTTTGTCATATGTGTTTTTTTGTGTTTAACAAACCCTTAATATGTTAAAGTATTAAACACTTAGCACACTTGGTATTAATTCCGTAGTAGATAGAGTTCTTGCATTACGAGTTTGATTATGATCGACATAATCGTCCATCTAATCGTACTAGAGACCAAATTGAAAAAAACATTTGAGGAAACTGTAACAATCTTGCTAACTGGAGACTGGACTGAAAATATTGGTGCTGTTAGTGAAAGTGACGAAAAAAATCGAAATTTATCCATTATATATACATGGCGTACATGGTCCAGTACATTTCGATTTACATCTCCATTCTCACAAAATTCATCCAACACAAGAACTGGAGCGGGCTGACCATGTCCATGACCATAGAAGATAGGCTAACGGGATACTCGGATAACAGCATTTCGATGACGATTTTACGCATTTTCGTATTTTTTTCAGTGATGAGGTTCATATTTCACTTGACTTGGGTATGTCAACAAGCAAATGAAAACCCACAAGTAACCGTCAAGAAACCGTTACATTCCCAAAAAGCCAATTTACGGTGTGGCATGTGATTTGAAGACCAGTACATTGTCGATAGTGTAACACAAACCGTCAATTCTGATCACTACTCACCGAAAGATTGGCAATTTTTTTGGCGGGAATTTAAAGATATGAATGTTGAAAGTGTATGGTTTTAAAAGGAAGGTGCGCCAAGCCGCCGACACGCCCCGTTTTGGTATTGTTGCGCGAGAAAATTTCCGCACGTGTATTTTCACATTTTGGTGATGTGGTGGTTAGCCCTCGATATCGTGCTAATTTTTACCGCTTGACTTTTGTTAGGTGTAGTTACACAAAGGATTGACTTTATGTGAAAAATGCTCAAAGCGTTGACGCCTCGACAATAAACATTCCTCAAGTTAAGGCCGAGCTCTTGGCCGCTCTGTGGAGACCAATCATTGAAAATTCTTTCAAAAGGATTCAGTTCTGTAAGATGTTCCGTGCAAGACGTTCGAATAATCTTGCGTTTCACAAATAATGCCTTGGCCCAAGCAATATACTGAAAATAAAATTTGATTCAAATCTCCGAAGTCTGGATGGATAAATCTGTATAAGTCATGTATAAGTCCGGTGTAAGATTCGCTGTAGATCTTTCGTAACATTTTCGGAGATTTGTTTAATTAATTTTTTTTTAAGCACAAATAATGATTGGATATATTTTTGAGAGTATACTTAATAAAAACAACCGCTTTAACCATTTTGAGTAATAGATTACTGAACGGAATGAATTCGATGCAGTTATGCTGCTAATTTACAGACCTAATAAGCTTGAGACATAATGTGTAAGGATCTGTGGAAATCATTTGCAAAAGACAAAAAAAAAGCTGAAAGAACAAAATTTTCATTGCTGTATAAAATGGAGTGGGTGCGGTTGATTTTTTCTATTTTCAAAAGAAAAGTTTTTACCGCACAGGCCTGTAGGCAGCATTGCAAGCGTGTCCTTGGAAAAGATCAAATCACTTTTAAATTCTTTCTTTGGAAATTTTTAGGTGATGTCTTCATTTTCGATAACGGGAGAATGTTTACCACAAATACTTGCGCAAACAGACAGGTGGACAGACGGACATGTTTAGATGCTGTCAAAATTTCTAAACTGGGCAAGAATTTAAACACTTTATGGGATATTTAAAGCTCGCTTCTGCGCGTTACAAAGATATTAAAAAAGTAATTAAATTTTTATCGGGGCGGGATCAATTTTTCTCATTTTTGTACAGGTACTACAACATCGCCCATACCATGTAACGTCAACTACTTTTGTAAATTTATCTAAAAACAATTTTTTATTACTTTTGAAAAACAGAGGTTTCCTCAATTTACATGGTTTCTGCAAAAGTGTTCATCGACCAATTTGGCCCATTTTCAATACTAAGCGGCGTGCAAGAACTTCCACTGTTTGTGCCAAATTTGATGTCGATAGCTTCACTTTTACGGGCAGGAGAATGTTTAAAACAGACATTACATAGACAAACGGACGGACTGACATGCTTAAATCGATTTAGGATTTCGATGCTGATCAAGAATATATATATACTTTGTGGGGTGTCTGATGTTTCTTTCTGGGCGTTGCAAACGTTTTGACAAAACGAATACATCACCCATCCAACAAAACGTTGTCAATATTTTGCTTGATTCCCTATTGTTATTAAAAATATTTTCTCTCAGATAATTTGAATTTTTACTTAGTGAAGAAATTAAATTTATATAGAAATATGTGAGCGAAAGAAGGGGGAGTGTCTAGGGCAATAGGCAAGGTTAGGTAAGATTAAAGTTAGCAAGGATGCGTTTTAGTTGATAAACAATTCTTCATAAGTTGCCTATACCTGCTTATTCTAATTACTGAGAACTGTTACAACTTAACATTTTTTCATAACTCAATTCACTTATGATTCTTTTTAACATTTTTTGGCCTTTTTTGTTTTCTCATTTACTTTACGCTCTAAAAATACTTTCTTCTGCTTAGTATAATTTAACCTAAGAATGCATTTCACTATCAATCAGGAACAGGAACAGGAACATGATATTCTCTATTATTATCCAACAAGAAGTACGTGAACTTTGAAATACAATCAGCTAAGTATAATTGATTCTCGTAGATATTTCTCGCAAAAGTTAATATTGATACTTTTTGCAGATCATATGTTCTGTCTAACTCATTCTCTTTTATCGTTTTGTGGAATTGGACTGTAACTCCACCAACCAAGGAATCATACTATACAAGACTAAGTCAACTAAAAATCGTATCCAATCTGCCAAAGAGACTTCACTGTACAGATGTACTCTGTAAGAGTGACTTTTACGCTTCGTTATGAATAAAGTAAAAAATTGAAATTCATTGAAGGACATAAACGTAAAGTTTAGAAAAAGATGAAAGCCTTTTTTCTCAAAAATAAAATTAACTTATGCTTAATGAAAGAAAATAAAGCATATTTTCCTTTATTTTCGTATTTTGAAAATTGTGGACTTGAAAGAGTTTTCGTCTTTACTCTTCAAAACGGTAAAGAAAAGGAAAAAAAAAATTAAACGAAATGTGCACACAATTGGAAATGACAACGACAACGACAACGGCAACGACAACGACAACATTCAAAACAAAAAAAAAATAATAGAAGAAATAACAACAACAACCAGAAATGATTTATACTTTTAAGGAAAGCTTTCGCATCAAATACTTTATACAAACCTATGTGTGAAATAAAGATTAGTGTAGTGTCATGAAAGCTTTTTAATGGAAAAACTAGAAAAATCACACTTTCATACTACAATAGTAAGCGTATATTGTCATAAGTTACGTTATAGTTTTTTTTTTTTTTTTTTTCATTACCATTACCATATTGTTGTTATTATTAAATTGCTTAAGTAGTTGTAAATGAGTATTAATACGCACTCTTTGCCTGTTTGAGTATAAAACGATCCTACATTCTATTTTTCTCTTTCCCTTCGTCGAACTTTTTATTACTTTAATTTATAATGTGCGTCTTCCTTTGTATCTATATCTGCCTTTGTCGTCTCTACCTCTATCCCTTGTGCGTTGCTTCTTGCCTCTTACCTATCCTATCTCTCTTCTTTTTTTAAGCTTTTTCGGCTCTAATTATTGTATAGTTTTTCAATATTTATTTTTTTATTATTCAATAGCATAATACAATATGCAATCAATAAGTCTATCCACATCCATATATATATATATATATATATATATGAATGTGCAAATTTATAGTTCGCTAAGTGTGCAGTACTTATTTATGATTGTAAAAGTATTGAGTGCGTGTGTATATCTGCATACAGCTGAGAGAGTGAGTGATATATGCAACAACTATGCACGATGACCTTCTCACACTGCCATGGCTGTGTAAAGCTTTTTTTTTTTTTATTTTATTTTCTTCTACATTAATATTAGTAGCGTATTAGAAAAATACACTAATAGCAAAATAAAAAAAAATAACAAAAAAAAGAAAAAAAAAAAAACATTAGCAAAAGCAACAAATTAACACAAACACAAAAAAAAAGTGAAATAAGACAAAATTCACACTACAAACTACAAACATTCGCTTAATATACAAAATGAAAAAAAAAAAAAAAAAAAAACAACAAATTTTCTTTTCATTGACTAAAAAAACTTATGCATTGTTTGTGCGTTTTGCGTTTACACTCAAGATCGCACTTGGACAATCGCAAATGCACAGGCACGCAATTATCGACACAGACAAAGGCACAAACACAGGCACATGCGCTCGTAATCAGTGCAACCAAACGTTTGTTATCGTTTCCATACGTGAGATGGAATTTTCAAGTTCCTTATTCCAAAATTGGCCGAATTGTAGAAGAAAAATAAAAAATGAATAAATAAATAAATAAAAAGTTTTATAACAAAAATTAATGCATTATTAAGAGAAAATATTTATTTCTTATTTCACGTAGGTTTTTTTAGGTAATACAAAAAATAATTATCGTAAGCTAGAGAATTTTAGAGAAGATCACTTACTTCTTTCTTATTTTTTAACTTTATTCTCCATTTAACAAAATATAAGCAACAACAAAAAAAAACCGTTTAATGATTGATATGAAAAATTTAAGCTTTACCAGAAATATGTGCTGAGTAGCATATGGGGAAAATCGCCTCTACAGTCTTTACTCTTATCGAAATTCTGATCACCCTGAAACAAGAGAGTACGACATCAGGGGGATTGTCTCATGAAGTAAATGAACTGTTTCACGGGACGTTGGGGAACCGTATGATTAAAACCAGAGGTCGCCGTTCATTTCAACGCCATCCCGTTTTGGCGAATCGAGCACCATTGACAATCATTGCTTGATCAGCCTCATTTTCGAATATATAACCCAACTTATTAATCCGAAACTAATGGGTAAATTTTGAGACACCCTTCAGAATCTTTGAAATCTTCATCGCCGAACTACAACTAGGGCGACAAAATATATTCAACTTTATCCGAAGGAATTTAAATTTACTTTTCATTTAAGAAAACAAATCTCTTACAAATGGTCTACATATATATTTTAATTATATTTTGTCCGAATATATGGTATACATTTTATTTTTTTAATCAATTAAAGTGATTTTATTTATGCAATACTTTGAAATATTTAGTAAAATAAATGATTTAATACGAAGGATGTTGTTGCTCGCTTCACAATAGCAACACTTTTCGTTATTATTAAAATTTTATATTTTGTACATTGCATATTGCAAATGGAAGAAATAAAATCTGAAATATAGCAGTAATTGTTCCATGTCAATTCGAGAGATTCACTCCATGCTAGCCTAACTCTACTGAAAACAATATTTCATAGGAACTTTGCTATGAAACTTTAATAAAAGCATTTGACGGTACTCAAATACAATAAAAACTTAACATAACCTATACATAATTTTAATCGGGCCGGGGTTACGGTTTTCTGGTCTTCATATTAAAATAGAAGGGTATCAGTTACACTCGCATTCGTACTCGTACCTTAATATAATTTTTTTATAAAATATTTTAAAGTCAAATTTAATCAAAAATTTTCTCACTTCTTTTCTTCTTCATGATGTTAAAAAAAAATTAAAATAATAATAATAATAATAAGACAAGTAAAACACGTACATAGAGTTTAAAAAATACTTTCTTTAATTGTTGTCATGTCAATGGGTTTTTTGGAATGGTTTTTACACTGACCCCCGCCAGAAGGCCACAACTATGAGTTGATAATAACTCTCATAGGGTATGAATTAATCATTCTTTATCTGTAGTAGGCTTGTTTGCTGGCTAAGGACATGATGGGGAGAGGTAAGACAAAATCAATCCAGAATTTTATACTGTTCGATAATCGATATAACATACAGAATTTCGAATGCGTTGTTCTAAGTGTTATCAATGGACCGATAAATCTTGTATTGCCTCATCTTTCAATGTTGACTTTAAAAATAAACTGCCGGGCACTCTACAACAGGCGATATTTGACAAAAAAAAATTTTAATTAATTTATTATATTAATTGAAATATATATATTAAAAATTTTGCTTTCATTACATGAAAATGATATTAAAATAAATTAAATAAATAAAACTAAAAACAAAGTATATTAAGCAAATTTACGCTTATACATATCGATATATATTCATCGATCAATTTTAGTTTTGAATCATTTATCTAACCGTATAATATATTTTAATATATTATTTAGATATAATATATTTTAATATATTGTTTAGACCTGGTTTTTACTTCCGTTTTGCACGTTATTTAACAAAAAAAAAAAAAAAAAAAAAAAAAAAAAAAAAAAAATGCTGACCTTTTCATAAACTAACATTAATAAAGAATTTCATTGCAAGGCTTATAAAATATTCTTAACTCTCAAAATGCAATGAATTAATGATATCCAAATTTATGCCTTATGCGAATTTTAGATATATTTGTAGTTTTTTTTTCAGAAATTCAGAGAAAAAAAAAATTATTTTTGAAAAATTTAATTAAATATTCCTTATTTACGGAAATTTATATATAAATTGAAAACGGTTAAGAAAAACAAAAAAAAAACCTATTAAGAATAAAAAACTGTAAAACTCTTTTTACTGTTGTTATTGTTATTGTTGTTTTGTGTTGTTCTTGTTGTTGCTTAGTCGTTTCATATAAATACAAAGAAATAAAAAGCAATAGATAAATATATAGTTATATGTGTTGGCACAACCTTCAAAAAATATTTAACAACAATAATAAGTTAGTAGTCGCCTAAGTCGTTGCTGATATTGTTATTGTTGCTGTTATTGCTATTGCTATTGCCATTGCTGTTGCTGTTATTTTATATATATATATATATATATATATATATATACACTTTAGTTTCTACGTATGTAGATATATAAGTACGAACATCCGAATGTGTGCGGCATTTATATTATTTATATTATATATTGGTGTTGTTGTTGTTGTTGTTGTTGTTGTGCTATTCTCTATTCCGACACAACTCATATGCGTAGCAGGAAGTTAAATTTCAAGGATTGACTCATTGAAAGGCGAATGAATAAGATCGAAATAAACAGAATACAACGATAACAACAACGAAAAAAAAAAAAAAAAAAAACAAAATACAATAATAATAGCAATAACAAACGACTGTTAGAGCGCATGCACGAGCCACAAAAAGAAAAAAAAAAAATTCGTCAAGATCAACGAAAACTAGTAGCAGCACAGCAACGGCATGAGTAACAACAACAAAAAATATACACAGATTCAAAAACAAAGCAAAACAAAAGCGAAACAAATACTTATACCTGTACTTGTGTTAAATAAAAAAAAAAAAAAAAAAAGAGCTTTTTTTTATTCGCAATTTTCATTTCACTCTTCTAAATGCTTTTGCTTTTCTTGTGTTCTGTGCTTACGATGCGTTATTAATTTCGTAAATTTACACAAAAGTCATCACATTCGGACTAATGAGAGAAATCAAATCAATAAAAATTCATTTTTCCTTTTCTCTCTCTCTATATATATATATATATATATATATATATATATATCCGGAATTG